CCGCTCAAAGGCCAGTGAGCTTTTCTCCGCATCTGCCGGTTTTGCGGTGAGCTTTTCTCCGTAGAGCTTATCTCCGGTGAGGTTTTCTCCGGTGAGCTTTTCTCCGCCGCCCGGCTTTACTGCCCGGTGCCTGGGTGCCTTCTGTGCTGAGTTCGGTTCTGTTTTCCAATGCCGAGCGCCACCCGGCAATCAACGTGGTTCAGTATTTCTGCGTATCGGTAACGTAGCAGCAACATCGTGACGGCAGTGTTGTGCGTTGTGGACATCAGACTGGAATTATCGCCGATGTCACTGTGTTCGCGTATCAGTGGTGTAAAAAGATGAGCTGTCGGGATTGATGCCGCTGGTCGGGCCGTGATCGGAGGGGGCGGGGTGTCGCAGGTTGACATTCTGCTTTACATTAAAGAGTTTAAGACCCCTTGAAGGGTTAGGTGCAAGTGATCGACGTGTGAATAGTCATGTTGGAACGCTTCTCTGAACCGTAAGCTCCTACCGTAAAGTGGTCAATGTGACTATCGGTTGTTTCCTCCCCGAGGGCGATTGCGCTTTGGGGGAAGGACTGAACAGTACAAAAATATGACGGAAAGTACGCATATTTACAGTGTGGAATTTTAGCATTAGAAAAAATAGTAGGTAAAATCGAAAAAAAAAAAGAAAAAAAGCTATCCTTTATTTCGCTGTTTATATATACTGCAGTTCCTGGAGAAACTGCCCTCCAAGTGCTGCGCTGGAATGAGCGCTAGAAATGTTCGAGCTCGCCACGGCGTAGCACCGTACCCTAAACACCTGCAGCAACTCGCGGCTTTGACTGCATTCAAGATGATCGGAAAGCGATTTCTCTGCCCGTGAAGCGTCACTTCCAGCTGAGTGGATATCCGCTCTACAAAGATTAATTCAAGACGACAAATGCAGCCGTGCGCGAACAGCACAAATAAAAAAAAAAAACACTTCAATAGAAATACTGGCTACGACGTGCCGTGCGGGGAAGCAAACACATGGCTTGGAACCGCATATGAGCTGCTTGATTTATTGACTTTCAAATAATTACGGCATGATCGAGAGTTTACTTTTTAATAGAAGATTCATTCCCTGAGCCATTCAAAATACTCCCAAAGGTATGACATTGCTGGAACAAAATCAACATGCTGCGAATATTTTTTTATTGCTTAGGCAGTCATCGAGACATTTCGTACGTCCAGAACGACGAAACGGAAACGCAGAGCTTGGGTGTAGTGATCGGCTTAGTGTGCTCTTGTAAAAACAGTTAGGGCGCAGGCAAGCTGATGTAGGTTTGCCTTTTCTTTTTTTTTTTTTTTGACCACCTGAGGCTGGGTAGAAGAAACACGACGTCTAATTTTTTTTTTGTGGTCTAAAAAAATGGTGCGCTGTTGTGTTGACGTTTATATGTGCCATGTATGTGTATACGCTCAATGTATGTTCAGCTGATGCTTGAAGTACACGTTACGTGTCTACATGTCTGTGTAATAAAGGTTCCCGAAGATCCCGAAGCGCACTTGTGGCGTGAGGAAATGAAAATATATTTATAGAACATGAACTGGGCGGTACCTAGCGCCACCTAGCCTAACTACCTGCAATTACTCTCCTTGACCCTGCCATTCGGTGGCAAGTGAATTAACCTTCTTTCACGCTACGCGATAAACAGCAGCTTCGAGTTTGTTCTTTTGAGAGCTGCTTTTGGTTTTGCGGATTGGTTTGGCCTTCCTCCCTGATGTGAGGTTGGCGCAAGAATTTTGACTTGGGAATAGCAATGGTAAGACGTAAAGTGTGCGAAGTAACTGGGTATCGGTTGTCTCCTTTAACATCGCAGTGCTAACGACGAGAAGACTGAGTAACTGATTTTTATACGCAAGTTTCTTTACCAGCGGGGGAATCTGGCTTCAGAAATAAGCACAGTTCGCGGAAAGCTCGTGTTACACTTTTACTTGCTGCTCCTCTCGTCCCGTACAAGAGACGTAGCGTCCTTGTTAAGCCTTATTGAGCTCGATATGCTCGATTTGGGGCCGCCATATTGAGATGCAGGTGATGGAAGAACTTTGCTCCCCGTCTTCGGGGACGAAAGTTCCTCTCTTTCTAAAGGAACATAGGTTACAAGACTGTTCGTCCCCATAGGGAGGACTATCGCTACCCTCTTTTACTAAGAGTGTAGTCAAAACGTTTCAGGTCATTTTTAAAACTTGAGGCGCTTCCACGCCTCGATAGAAAGTCGCTTTCAGTGATGTTATACTTATTTCCGGGAGTATGTAGAGAGCTTCGTTTTTGTGACCAATGGCAAGTACTCGGTCACCAACGATTCAGTTCGGCTAAAACCAAAAAGCTTTTTTTTTTCGAGGGTAGGCGCTACTTGAATCCGTTGAAAAAATGTTCCGGAACAAAATAAACTACTTGAAATGTCTGACTTGACATAAGGATCGCCGTGTTGACTGACTCAGTGGTATATATGCCGACTGATAAGACAAACTGCAGCTGTCACTTTTGACACGTTTATTTGTGTCAGCATTAATGTTTGGCAGCATTACTTTAAGCTACGCCGTGGCTTCCGTAGCACGGCTTAAATAAGTTAATTGTCAAAAAAAAAAGCTTCCGCATTTTAGGTTTCCCGTCGGTTTTCGGCGGCATGTGTTTGATACCATGGCATGAACTCAAAGAAATGTATGTGAGTTTACTTTCTTAAAAAATCACAGAAGAACCAATCAGGACCAACAAAAGAAGGGCCCCGGCGAATGACGAAGCTCAGAGTAAGATTAGACAAGAACGTGTCCTAAGAAAATATCCATAGCTTTTTTTTTTATTACAAAAATAAACTAGGCAACTTTGAGCATTCATTCTTCATCCAAATGCAGTGCGATAGTGGTCCGAAACGGATGCAAAAGTTTCAGAACTAATCAGTACCTCATAAAAAAAAAAAACGTTCAGCAAATTTCCTCTCTCGTGAAGATGGAAGACCAGCGGAGCTGTACTCGATACACTGTGTGCTTCTTCTTCGTCGTCGTCTGTTTTTAGCGCTGTTTCCTACGATGAATTCCCACCACCGCGCCCAACTAGCCATTCTTCTATTATAGCTGGAAAGGTTGGCGCCATCTACGAGCGACGGCAGAAACCATACTGGTTGTGTGCTGGCCACCGTCGCTTATAGATGGCGGTAGCTGTCCAGGTAGGTTTGTGTCGACACACATACCGGACACGATACTGGTGAACCTGGCCCTCAACAGCTGCGCTGTAAAAATTGAATGTGATTTTCTAAAAATTAAAATGAAAAAAAATGGGACTAGTTTTTGCCTATCTTCGGCAACCGGCGCCATTTAGCTTCATGTATTCGAGCGATCCATCGGCTGCCATTTTCTGATTGAAAATGTAAGGAAATCACCCACTACTCTTGAAATAAGAAAACTCTTAGTTCTGAAACTTTACCATTTGGTTAGGACGGCTCACGCAGCATTTTGGTAGATCATGACCGTTCGGCAGTGCCTATAGTTTATTTGTGCTGAGAAAAAAAGAAAGAAAAACAAAACACAATACAATTTATTTTTTGGAACACCCTGGAGAACATGTCACTGCAAAGGGACAATGAGCATGACGTCTCATTTGCTTATGGTGCCAGCCGCGTTGCGCATTTTTACTATCTGGGCCCATTTTCTCGAACGCGAACCGTGGTTTAAATTTAACTATTGTCCCTAGAAGGGGGAATTCTAGGTCACGTGACTTGGAGAGCAGGGGCGCCGAGGGAGGAGCAGTACCCAGAAGCAAAATGGCCGTGGCGTCGCTCAACGAGGGCTAATAATTCTGCTTGGTTCTGCTGAACATTCATTTCGATCTGGCTGTTATATTAATGACGCACCATCAACGTATTAGCACGTCAAGCAAAGCGGTGGTTCAGAGGGACTACTAAACTAACCGACGGCAGCATTCCGCGAACGCATCACTCTTTAGCAGTCCGGGATCCAAGACATATGACGGTACATAAGCCTTGCAAGTGTTTTTATGGTGAGTAAAAAAATGTTTTGCGAACGAGTGTTGGTATATATTTATTCTAACACGTTTAATTTGTTACACTATGCATGCCAACTCGTGAGCAGCGATTACTTTGCGGAGAAAGGGGGTTATCCACGATAAAGTCTTCGTTTCTGGTGAGCAGCTGGGACATTGTACTGTTTTCTTTTGTTGTTTTTTTTTTTTTGTTCGCAGCGCGCCGACAGTATGGCGACAGCATCGAGGTTTCTACATATCCCCGGTGGCCAGCGGTTCAACGGTGACGAGAAGCTAAGCTTCTCGTCACCGGTGGATCGGTTGGGCAAATGGAAGAGAGGGCAAACAGTTGAGATCAGCAGGAATCTCAGAAACGTGCGTTGCAAGGGACAAAAACGAGAGTATATACAGCACCGGCGTTGCCAGACTGGAAGGAACACGGGAAAGTTATGCGTTGTTTATGGCGAAACATATTGAAGGAAATGTTTTTTAGATTTTCGAATATTCGTCGACAAACTATGGCATAGTAGCTAAAATTTCTTCGTACCATCGGAAGCAAATAAATTGGTCTTCAAGTACAACATTACTATATTTTGACTTAAAATACCATACTAGATTGATAACAACCAGCGGAAAAAGAGGATAAACAAAATGACTGGCTTGTTTCACCGATAGATGGCCCATCTTATTGCCCAATCAAAAATAATTATTGTTGTTCTATATCCAGCCGTTTATTACAGTACCTAGGTACTTTTTCCTTCCTAGGCACCGTGGTTTACTAAAATGGGTTTACCATCGCTTCGAGAAAACCGGCCCTGGTCGTCCCCAGAGGTCTGGTCGTATTTTGTTATTATAGTCTTGATTGACTATTTCTGTGTTCTATGGGTGGGACGTTTCACAAAGTGCGAACCTTTGCATTACTGTCGACTATATATGAAAAAACCAGGGAGCCAACAACATGACCAATAACCTTTCGGCCACAATTTCATGTTTCAATTATGTAGGGTGTCCCATCATCACTCACCGTAGTATCCGTTCATATTTCCCTCGTTGGCCACAGCTTTGGGGTAGCCCGTGAAGATGACCGTATTCTGCAGCTTACTAAGAGCGGTCTTCCGAGCCTCGTCGTCCAACCAAGCGCCCCGTTCCAATAGGCTCCTGAGCGTTTTCTTCATGTCTGTCACCATCAGTTTTGCTTTTAGGACCGCCTCGGATGAAATCTCTGAAAAGCAAAGACAGCGGGAACAATGCCTGTGCGACCAGAGACCTACAGTCAGCTTGAGTTGGTTCATTCTATATTAAAGAAGTGAAGTAATATTTTACTGTAACACGTAAAATCGGCGAGAATTTCTAAATGCCCAATTTTCTCAAAGCTTACACAAAGTTGCCGCAAAGAAAGAAAAAACACACACAAAGAAAACAGTCGTACTTTAGAGGGGATGTTCCATATTTCTGAGGGCTCTCTTCTATTTTAACAAAGTGTAATTTTGCTCAGTGAAATGCGAGGCACCCTTAAAAGGACGCTGAAATGAAAGACAAAAAAATGTCGCAGAAATCATTACTCTGGTTGTGTAGGATATGCGAAGCGTCACGTATGAATGTTCACACCGGTCTTCAAACAATACGGAGCCGTTTCGCACGGAAGACAAGAGATAGCGCAAGAGGTGGCGACGCTAACTGCCGCCAATGAACGAGCATACGGCGCCGAGAGCCGGCATCTTTAGCAGACGATCTGTTCGACTCAAAAGCGGCGCGAGCTTTTTTGATATCAGCTGCCAATGCACTATTTCATCATCCTTACTAATAAAACACATTGAATGGACACATAAGTGATTAAAAAATAGTTTGTCGGAATATATTGACTGTTTTCTTGTTTTTTGTTTGTTTGTTAGTTGTTTTTTCTTTTTTTTTGGGGGGGGGGGGGGGGGGGGTTGTTTGCCTTGCAGTTCCTTGTGGTTACCGCGGCTGTTCTTGGTTCTGCGACTGTCGCCGCTGAGGGGCGTGCGCCGCTTTTCAGTCGAAAAGATTATCTGCCTCTTGACGCCGGATCTCGGCGCCGTATGCTCGTTTGTTGGCGGCAGTTGGCGTCGCAACCGCTTGCGCCATTTCTTATCTCCCGTGCGAAACGGCGCCGTATTGTTTGACGGCCGGTGGCTTCGCTGCGATTCCATGGGAGCTAAGCATTTTCTTTTTTTTACTTTTTCCTCAAATAAAAATTTCTCTTCACACATAAAAAAAAAAAAAACATTATCTGTGGGCAACGTTACAATAACTCGTAGCGCGATAGGTTAAGAAACCGAATTAGGCGGTCGATTCAAAGAGCCTGGCTGCTACTCGGGACACCGGGTAAATTGCACCAAATGGCGATCCAAAAAAAGAAATGTTGGAGAAGCGCCAATTTGTTTTTCATGTTCCCCCGACTTTTAACCGCTTCATGGTAGATACACATACACCAGTGAACACACAGAATACACGGAACACGAGCAGAACACCCCCACACACAAGAGCGCTGCGGCCGGGAACATGAAGGAGGAATTTTCGTCCCTTTTTCAAGCGCCACCAGGTGGCGCTGCATGTAAATAGGTGAAATGCAGGAACGGGTGCAATTTTCCCCTTTCCGTTGGCGACAAAGAGGGACATCGTTTTGTCCTCAATTTCTCCTCCCCATTTTCTTTAGAGCGTGCCTACTACCACGTGCCGAGGGCAATCGGGTGAGAGTACAGAGTTTGCATGCGTTTTTTGCCCCCTTTGAAGAGGGTACGAATGTACCCTCCTCGAAGGGGGCCAATCCGTGTACGCGCGGAGCGGGTTTAGCTCCTACGTTTGTTACGAGGTCAGATGCATCGCGATAGAGGTGGCTAAAGAATGCTTCGCCTTCAAAGAAAAGCACCTAGCGTAATGGGCGTGACTAGAGCCGGAATCGGGACAGCAATTGATAAAAGTTTATTCCGCGTTATCTTATATACGTGAATTGTGGTATGATTTAGTCACGTGGCTTACGTGCGTCATGAGGATATAAAAATAACATACTTTGCCAAGTCATTTCCTCAAAAAAGATTTAAAAAAGTAAAGTTTGTTTAGAATTTACGCTGCGAGACGCAATTTAGGTAGCGGTCTAGGCGCGCTTTAAGCCTCACCCACAGCTCAGCGGCCTGCGTTCATTACTTGTGGATTGGGTTGTCTCCTCGGCCGAAGACGTACGGCAGCCTAAGGCCCCTGTGGCGAAGTAGGGTGTCATGAATGCCACCTGACGCGGCCTGCTAGTTGTGAAAGCAAACGTGGGGTAGCTTCTAACATCTTCTGATATTCCATCGCGGCTACCCATCGCCTGACACACCCGCAGAACGCAAGCAGGACAACGGCGCTCTACCGTTCCATCTGGAGCGAGTCACGGTCCAATACAAGCGTCTGTCCCGCGTCTGTCAATATGCACTAAAAATCAGTGTTTGGCCAAGTAAACCTAAAAAAATAAAATAGAAAGTAAATGAGAAAATATATAGTTAAGTAAAAATAGTAAGTACACCGTTCGCAATGTATTTGAAGTAAAATATTATAAATTCAATGTAATTCAAAGTACAAGTAGATTTTACCCAGATTTTTCATGGTAGCTACACTTTATTTTCACGTATGCATTTCCCCCGGGGTAATCGGTTGTGCATCAGTTATTTTTAGAAGTGCCGGTGAATATTAGTTAAAGTAAAGTGGTCACAGAGTGGTTATTTTAGGAAATGGCCACCAAATTAAGGGTCGAGTTCCTCCGTGACGTTTGCCTGTAGTTTCGGTAAGTAGTTCTCTCGGGGAGGAGTATCCTCGCCTAATATTTGTCACCTTCTCGCTTGCGCTGACCGAGCGAGAGGTTGTGAGAGTTAGGAATGGGGCTGGGGCAAAGCGAAACAGAACGACGCGTCGTTTCCTCGTGTTTCTGATGAGAGTCGAATTTTCGGTGGTGAAGATGAAAATATAAATCCCAGTATTTCTTCAGAGTTAACAAAACATGATCTTGTGATGATAGTGCAATTAATGAAAAGGTGCAAGCGAGCTGGACAAGAATAACAACCCAGTGGTGTTAGGTGATTTGTGTTTGTTCTTTGTTCCCCCTCTCCAGAAAATATTATTGTTACGGTTTTGTTTCACCGAGTCAAGATGACCGAATTTGGGAAATGTCCTTTGAATTTTGGAGTCGTACATTCCTCGGTAAGAATAAAAAAATATTTAAATAAATAACTTAGTGAAAGAATGTGCAGTGTGTTCCCCAATAAGTTTACTGGGGTTTCTCACTGCAAAAATAAAGTAGGGATCGCTGAACGCCCATTCTCTGTCCGAATGTAGCGCTAGACGTCAGAACTAGATGCAAAAGTTTCAGCACTTACCTTTGTCTTATTAAAGTATTATAAGTGATTTCATGAAAATTTCAACGGGAAAATGGCGGTCAACGAAGCTCTCGGATACATAGAACTGTATGGCGCCAGTTACAATAGATGGACGGAAATGGGCTCCATTTTTGCATCGAAACTTTTAGAAAATCACATAACTTTAGAATAAGATAATGGTTAGTGTTGGAACTTCGGCACCTGGTTCGGACCTCCAGGGCTACTTTTGGACAGAGAATGAGCGTTCGGCAATGCATAGTTTTCTTTTTCTTTTTTTTTTCTTTTTTTTTTTTTTTGTGAATAAAAATGTGTAGATTTTGTTTTTGAGACGCCATGTATTGAAGTAAAGAACACGCTTTATCAGCCATAATTAAAGTGTTACTTGAAGTACAATGTAATTAAAACACTTCCTAACACCGCTATGAAAGAGGTGCCTGACACGCGTCTTTGACTGCCGTGCTTACCGCGTCCAAAAAGTGGTTCCTCGATTTCGGCGTGGCTACATTTTAAATGTGTCATGTTGTCCCAAGCCGCGATCCTAGCTCTGTCACAGCAGCTGCGTGGGTGTGGCAGACGACTATCGGAGGTGCATTCCCGGCACTGGATTAAAAGCTGGCAAGAGGACCCAAACATCAACAACAAACAAATTGGTCGCAGACTCCACTACTGATTGTTCTCTATAAATTGCGATAGCATTCTCATCAGACTAACGACGCCGCGGACTGTGAATACGACGACGGAAGTTTTGAGTCGACAGTTTATTTTATGAATGGTTCACGACGCAATAAAGGACGTCAGCGCGACAGCAGGGCGCCACTTGGAACTTGAGTGATTGCTTGGTTTTTGTGTGATCGTTTAATCTTCTGTCCGTTTGATCGTTTAATGTCCAAGCTTTTTCCCCGCCATCATTTCAGCTTACTGTGTGTGTCTTGTCCAGCGTCCTTGTAATCGATTAATGTTCATCATTTATCATACAGAAACTAGCTCAGCTTAAGCCGATGACTGCTTCGTGACCGAGGAAGCGTGGCCAACGTTTTTCGAGTGCCCATCCAGTGTTCCTTCATGCAGCGATATGGAACTGAACTGAACCAAGATCGGCGCAGCTCCTTCGCGCCTCAAGCGGAGGTGGTGTCAGGCTGCCACATCAAAGGGGTTATGGCAATGAATATGTACTTTTGTTGCAAGGCCGTTCATAGTATTATTCAGACCTTCATCGTTCAGTAAAGTAACTCCGTGGATTTCCATAATACATTTTCTGCTTTACTGCTCAGTTGAATTAATGTTAGTTTGGTCTTTCACCGTTGTTTGCAGTACTCCCACTTCAGATCGGAGTAACTTGATCTCTTTATCGTTTTCTGTAACGAGTTGCATCATAAATTCGCATTACTTGATCGATTCTTGCAGGCCCTTGATCGTCTCTTTCATCGCGTCCAGTGATGGTCTTGAGTACAAGAGACCATCTACTTTTGCCGGGAGATCAGACAGCCGATCAACGTTGGCTTTCAGCGTGTGCAAAAGCAAAAGCGTTTATCTGTGCAAGTTGTGCGGTGATGGCGTCCAGGAACACCCAATCAGTCTTAGTAGTGTAAGGCGATGCTGATGATTTAAGAGATGGTGATGATTTAAGAGAAACGTGATGTGCTGGAGGTCTAACTTTCACACTGCGGAGATTGTCCAATCAACGCTTTCCCACACAAGAACGGAATTTCATACACTACGTTTACGTTGCAGACGACGTACCTATCTGCATGATTTGTGGTACTTTGTTTATTATTTTTATTTGGCGAATTGATCTTGAAACGCATTTGTGTAGTTTGTTCGGTGCTGATAATGCCACCGGTACGTGGTCTTT